ACGGTCAGTCTTCCCCATGGCGAGTCGCGGGGCCCGTTCGTTTTCAAGTATGTGTTGAAACTCACTGCTAATGTTCTTAACCTCTCGCCTATTGCAGGTCTAGTGTTCACTAAGGAACACGAGTGGATCTCCTCAGTTGCTGCTGATGGTGATCATGTGGCTACTGTCGGCATCACTAACTTTGCTCAAGACCAGATCGGCGAGTTAGTGTAAGTGCACTCTGGGAGGGTCTTGAGAGTACTTGGAAATTGTCAGGTATGTCGACTTGCCGACGGTTGGCTCGGTGTTTCACAAAGACGAAGTGCTGTGTACTCTTGAGAGCGTGAAATCGGTTGAGGAAGTGTATGGACACCAACATCACTACTTTGGAAAATGCCCATCTTTGCTCAGATTGTGCCCGGTTGCGGCTGCGGAAGTATTGGAGACAAACGTTAAGGTTGAAGACACTCCTGACTTGGTCAACTTGGACCCTGAGCATGACGGTTGGCTGGTTCGCATACATTACGAGTGGGTTCACCACAGTGGTGTCGTAGCGAGAGTGTTGGCTTTCAGGGGAGATGTAGAGGCTGATGGAAAGAACTTCTTCAGTGAGGAGGAGTATCGAAAAGGCCACAGTGTTGAAGTCTTCGAGTAAGAATATCTTTCTTCAAATTCTTTCCCAGAAGTTTACAACCAGCGTGTTGGGGTTGGCTAGCTGTTCAGAAATAATGCAATTAATAACGGTCCTGTTCTTGCTTGTGTTTGCATTGTTTTCTACGACACTTGAAAGAGCATATCTCCCTGCGCTGCCCACTGTGGTGGAGTGGCGCGTTTCCTGTTGTGTTTTCATAAAAGTAGTGGTTCTTGGACTAACAATAACGCAGCAGCGAGAATAACGAGAAGTGCGAATTCACCGATTCTATGCGCGATTCAGCGGACCCTCCAGGCCTAGCGTCGACAACACAATTGGTATCAAGAATTGTCTCTGTCTCACGCGTGCACAAGTTGGAGATTTGCTACAGCGTCACAGTTTACTCTTTGTGTTGAACATGGTACGTCTGAGTGGCTCAGCCCTTGGTTATTCATGCTAGAAGAAACGGCTGGTTGAAACGGCTCGTCACGGATTCGATCTTCACAAGATATGTGATGTACCGATCACTATGGCGTAGCGAGATTTTGTTTAGCGTTTCATATTTTATGCAAGCTGCGTGCTGTTCCCCACACAACTCTTGGTGGACAACTCGACCGACGATGGCGACATCGAAGGTGTGTGGAATGTCAGACGCCAGCACAGAGACTGGTGCGGATTTCAACGTAAGGCTTGTCATGCCTCCTTGTGGTTTTCAAGCGAGCGTTTGAGGCGATCGTCTTGATACTAGTATGATGTGTTGTCGGTGGTCATGCGAGTGGTGATGGAAGTGTAGGCATGATTGTAATTATCTACTGTTGAGGTTCGCCTCGTTATAGAGAGCTTCCTCGGTGATGGTGTTGATTATGCTCTTCTGCTCTTCAGCCAAGCTTCGATCGCCACTCGACCAGCGCTGGACATTGCCTACTCTCTGACTTCGAGGTGGACTTCATCTCTGGTTTGATCTGTGACACCGGCTACTCTCTCGTGGAGGACAGCATGACCACCACAGCTCCAATTCGAAAGAAGACCCGTACCTCTTCGGCATCCAAGGTCGACCTCAACCTCATCATACCTTCCTGTCAGAGGCGTTCATGCACTACAACTAGTAAGTCCGAGGCTACCCCAAGCAGCTCTTCAGGGTCTCGTAGTACTAGTACGCCTGAGAAGACGTCTAGACGAGGTAGAAAGAAGACTGCTGCTGTTGGTGGTGGTGCTCCTCGTGCTTCGGGTATGCCCGAGTTCGAGCGTAATGAGTACCGGAGGTTGGTCCAGCACATGGTACGCATGAACAAGGAGTTGGCTGCGCCTTTCATGAAGCCTGTCCCCAAATGGGTTCCTGGTTACTACGAGGTGATCACTATTCCAGTCGATATATCGATGATACTCAATCGGCTCGACTCTTGGTTTTACGCATCCCGTGCTGATTTCGAAGCCGACATGAGGCAGATGTTCGTCAACGCCTACACCTTCAATCAGCCCGGGTCTCTTGAGTACGAGTACGCCCTCGAGCTCCACTCTATCTTCAACACAATGATGTCGACTGCTCTTGACAAGGTATTGCAGCACCTGGCGGAAGAGCACGAGAAGGAAGTCCGATCCACCACGAGTAGTGGTCGGAAACGTAAGCGACGATCGACGTGAGAGGCTTTGAGCCTCGGCCGATATGTTATATAATGCTTGTCGACTATTTTTCTGCTCAAATCGATTGATTATTACTGGCCGGGTACCGTTGTAGGGATGAAGTTCATCCTGACGATTATTGCATATTTGTTCAATTTCGTTGTAGTATTGCTGTGGTTTTTGCAAAGCATCGTCGGACTTTAGTTGGTGAATTAAGAAGTGTTCATCGCAAATCCTAGTTCTTGTTTCGCGAGGTGGCTCATGAGGCGCCTTGGTAGATTAGATTCACTGTCAACTCCTTACTTGTGTTTAGTCGGACAATGGTACAACTGGATATGTCGCGCTCACAGCAAGGTCACATTACAGAAATTGCGACACTCGTCTTACTGGTGGAGCCGGTTCGCCTAAGATGAGTTTATAGGCCCATTGCTGCAGATATCTTCGATTGTTCTTCACCTCCACTGCCTAGGCCTATGTAGCCCATGATCGTTTGGAAGGAAGATTGCCCTTCCAGTTCTTGTTCAGGTTGGGCGATCGACTCTGTTGAATCTCTCGCATCTATTACTCGTGCGGAAGCTCCACCGGCTGCCTGATGATTTCGTACGCGACTTGGCGCTGCTGGAGCTGCATGCTTACTTCGTCACCTTCGCGCTCTGTATAATGTCGAGATGAAGGAGGCATCTGTGACCGCATTTGGTTTCTGATATCTTGCTGGTGCTCCCGAACCTGAGACATGCAGACGACGTTTATGCCCCCAGGGAACTGGGTAGTGTAATCGAGAAGCGAGCCGTTCGATCACCGCTCGACTGTGGTCTTCAAAGAGTGTGGCATTATCAAGAGAACCATTGAAGTTGGGGTCTCGAAGCAGCATTTGCCGTAAGCGTTGGAGCTCGTAGTTCCTAGGGACCAGTCATGAGGAAGCGAACTGGTCCTCAAGCTCATCCCCACAGGGTGTCCCTCTCGAAACGGATCTGGTCATTCTCAGCCTGTTGTAGGGTTATTTGCCGTTGCTGCTCTCGGAGCCGTCTTAGTATCTGAAGCATGAGCGACGTTTCAGTGATGCATGAAATAGTAAGGAGAACGTCACCCTTTTATCGCATAGTCCTGAAACGTCGGAAATCGCGTGTTGATATTCCATTGAAGTTTCGTCAATTTTTCGCGAAAGTCGCCTAAAGATGATGGCAATGCCATTCACCAATGTTCAGCCTGTACCTTTCAATCTGTTGTAGTCGTTGGAAACTATCCCAGAATTCTTGTAGACGGAGGTCTAGACCTTCCTTGAGAATCTTAATGTTAGGGTCGATACTTGATGCTCCATCCGGCAGCTGAGACGAATAGCTGTTGATATGGTATTCGATAGCAAAGTCCAACTCTCATTCGACCCTCATCGTCCATATAGGGCTCAAGCAGTACAGCAAGTCGCTCTTTATCATCGACCAGGGTGCTGTTCGCCGCAGCAATCTCTGCAAGTTGCTCTTGGTAACTACACCGGTCGAAAACATGAGAGCTTGTGATACATTCACTGAGTTACGTTCGGACGAGAGTGGCTATCTCTTCATCCCTGGTAGGTGCGGAATTCATTCCTGGATAATGTGAAGCCGTAGATGGCCGCATCGCAACGATAACACAACTGAGCTTTAACAATTCGTTCATTCGCGCCCACGATTCTTCTTGGAACCCTTTTAACTCCCAACGGATAACACAGCTGAAGTTCCCGTAGGGAGGCTCAGGAAGCAGCTAATATACCACATTGAAAGCGGTTGTCAGAAAGCTCGTGGAATGTTTTGGATGAACGTGTTCCTGTAACACGAACATCCATTGTTGTCAGTCATTTGCCCTTCAATGGCTGGGGAACGCTAACGTCAGTGAGAATCTTCTCCAGTGGATTTGAAGTATAGCGATAATAGAAAACGTCCAATCTGAGCTCACCATGGATAGCATCAGATAGATAACAGTGGGGTAAGTCCACGAACGGACCATGCGCCCAGATCCATTGCTAGAACGCACACATACTAAGTCGTGATGACTCCGTCAATTGATCGGAACGAGAGAGTTTTCTATGATTATGATGAATATATTAACGCGTATTTGGTTTCCATCGCACTCTCCAGCCCTTGACACTCTGGGACCGGCAAGGTATGTGTGAGGATCCAAGAAGATCCAGGTGGAGCTCGATGTTTCTAGTACCTATCACCTCGAATTACCTAGCATCCGAACGTGAAAAGATCATCATTGATATCTGGTTCTATGGTGTAACGGTTAGCACTCCAGACTCTGAATCTGGCGATCTGAGTTCAAATCCCGGTAGAATCTGTCGATTAGTTGTATTTGGTAAAGGGATTGTATAGTAGCCTTTTAACTCTAACCTAAACACTCAGTCTTTGAACGTACCTATAACACACCTATAGTTGATGCCGCAGATCTAGACTATACTACTAAATCTACGCATTCAAGTGGCTCTGAATACTCGTAACCTGAGCATGGCAGAAACCAAAACATTATGGGGTTTTATGGTGTAACGGTAAGCACTCCAGACTCTGAATCTGGCGATCTGGGTTCAAATCCCGGTAGAACCTCCTCATATGAAGAAGGGTCATGTAGATGTAGAGAACACTTCCCAATCATGTCCTGGACCAGGACTCCTGGTCCGGAAGTTACACGAGGTAAGGGTTTTGTCCGGAATCTAGGAATCTAGGTTAAAAAACGGTTGAATTTTCCAAATTGTTGTCATTATCCCCCCGTCGAACAAAATAATGTGTAGTACACCAACGAGCCAAGACTGATGACGAGAGCCTAGCGGCGAATTCCGTGGTATAGATGATTATTGATTTATGCTCTGAATCTAGCGACTCCCAGTCGGAGTTATACAACACGTACAAGTGCTAAACTTCCTTTCGTCTTGATTCCCTGACAATCTTTCTCAAAATCTCCAGGATTGCGACTACTTCGCAATGCAGAGGGAGCCACAACGTCTGAATCTACCGTCTCGAAAGGTTCCTCCAAACTCTCAATGTAACTTCTTTATATTACAAAGATTCCAGGGACCGAACCCCATCATATCAATCGCCACCACAATTACCTACCATTAACAGCAGTCTATATTGTATCACGTCGAAAGATTGACTAGAGAGATGACCCGACGCTAATCCGTACGTAGCCCGAATCGAGCTGCTCAGTGAACCATCCATCCTTCCCCTTCAAACTCGGAGACGTAGCACACAAGGACGTGATCTTACCCTGTACCCTGGTCGATTTTCTGTCGGCCGCTTGAGTCTCACTAGACGCGAGATAATGAGGTTCTGTGCCCGTCAGACATGACCCCTGTCTACTTCCTTCCTGCCCTCCCTCCATCTTCATGTTGGTCCAGCCAAACCACAGACTCGCATTGACAAGACAACGCGAAGTAATAGCGGAAAGAACGAGTAACTTGCGACTACTACGCATGAAGCGAGTATGCCTAAACATGTGCTAGCTCGTGACGTGTACCTGAGCGCTGTTTCTTGTGAATATCGATGGGAGCTCATCTCGACATTCCCGTTCGGCTATTCAGAAGAGTTCCTATGCCGAGTTAGACACAGAGATTGTCACGTGATGAGCACCAGGTGGGTCTGCGTGGGCAAATCATGATTCGGCTCATAGACACACAGACACCATGCAGATCACTTGCATAGTCTACACCACCCTGCTAGAAATGGTAAGACTACTTCATGATGATTATGCCCGCATATCTTCTTCGTTCACTTTCTTTAAGGAATACGTAACGGTTCAATGCTTGCTTACAAGATTGGATAGTAGCACTCTGTCAGGAGCCCTTACCGGTTTAGGTCCGCTCATTGTTTTCGAGAATCCCCTGGGGGGAAATGCCAAGCTCTAAACATTCCCCAAGCGCGACGAGCGGAAAGGATTGCAATAAAATTGCAAGAAACCCCAAAATGAGCCTTTCCAAGAAATCTGCGCTTAGCGAAATCGATCAGTCGATCGATCGGCCCTCGTAGAAGGCAGGTACCGAGACCAACGTCTGAGGGGACTTGGTAATAAGGGTATACGGTGGCTGTCATCCTCTACGCTCATGTTGTTGGTCTACGCGTTGTAGTAGCTGCTTTTCAATGCCGTTGGAATGTATTCTGATCATTGTCATGGCGGTGTCTGCTTACTGTGACGATGTTGATGATGTTGTTGTTCAGGAACCATGCAAATATTCGTGAAGACCCTAACCGGCAAGACCATCACTCTTGATGTCGAGGCCGCCGACACCATCGAGGCTGTCAAAGCTAAGATCCAAGACAAGGAGGGTAATTTCACGTACCTCTTTTCATGACGTACTATAACTACTACTATTTTAGGAATCCCTCCGGATCAGCAGCGTTTGATCTTCGCTGGCAAGCAGCTCGAGGATGGCCGCACTCTCTCTGACTACAACATCCAGAAGGGTGAGAATCTTTCATGCCGTTGCTCAGGGCATTTCGCTTCCTTTCAGAATCTACTCTTCATCTCGTTCTCCGTCTTCGTGGTGGTGTTATCGAGCCCTCCCTAGCCGTCTTGGCTAGGAAGTACAACTGCGACAAGATGATTTGCCGTAAATGCTACGCTCGTCTCCCCCCTCGTGCGGTGAACTGCCGTAAGAAGAAGTGTGGTCACTCCAATCAGTTGCGCCCCAAGAAGAAGCTGCGATAAGACCCTCATTGTCGCTGCCGACGTAGTCTAGATGCCGTAACAGCTGTCGTTTTGGCGTTGGTTATTAACATCCGGATGGCGCTGGTTCCCCTTGCCCGCTGGTTTTGAGGACATATTCTAGTGTTGTGTTGTATTCTAGCAAATGAGGCTCTTCGAGAGGTAGAATAAGTGGTAACGCAATCGCGAGAATTTCATGTGCTCGAGGAAGAATAAGATTTTTGAGACTTTGTAGATGTATACCTCCTACTCTTTTGCTATCGTATATACGATTTTGATTGTGATTCGTTTGCCGGAACCGGACTGGTCCATGAGGGAGATTAGGCGATCAAACGAGGGTCGCTCTCAGATGAGGCACTCGCTGTAAGGTGAATCCAGCAGTCTCAAGAAGCATTACGTTGACACGGTTATCGGAGTCACCGAGGTTCTCGTCGAAACAAGTCGGGCTCTGAGGAAGTAGGGACCATCTTTCACGATGAAGCTACAGGAGAGTGCTGGTAGCCATCGATGAGCCATCGTTTGAGCGTATCGTATGAGTTTCCCGAGACAGTACACTAACTGTCACAGGTAGCGTACTGTCTAAAATAATCACAGTGATTATTTTCTGGTTAATACCGATATTTCTCGCCGCTCTCGACGCAGATCTTGCGTAAAATCGAGCTCTTCATATTGCCCTTGTGGAACAAATTGTGAAGTGATCTCAACACGTCTACAATTCTCATCACAAATTCGTGTTTCTCCCCCGTGTTGCGGCTCACGAACGCCAATCTAGGAGCGCTGAACGAACCAGAAGGTGACACATGCTCGGAGCTAGTACAACTGGATTGATACTTCTCACTTACCGACAGCAGTTTGAGCCTCAAATTTTGAGGGGAGACGCAGACACCTAGTGACGAGAAGTAGACGAATAGTGGTCTGCCAAGCTCCCTATGGAGACTGCCATCAGTACGGCTGTTCCTACTTCCTCCATAGTAGTGCTCCAGCCCGAACACCAACACTTCTATGAGCCCGATGCACTACAGATGACGATAGGCTTATGTTCGGAATCCGAACTCCGGATTCGCTTGAATTTTCACACTCACATCAATATGCTTTCCTGATATCATCGTACCCAGAGCTGATCGCTCTATCGTCCAATAGTTGCGCGCTGTGGACTCTGTGTGCCCAATCTGTCTCCCCCTGGTAGGCTATGGCTAGCATGAAGTTTTCCTAAGGTAGTTGTTATGCTGTTGGTGTATTCAGTCTCTTCCTCCGGTTACTATTACAAGTCAATGTCAACGGGATCTGTGGTGTGACACCACCGCTTGAGCCCTTCGACACCTCGACAGTGATCAGAGCCAGCTCATGCCTTGTAGAGCATATAACACAGATGAGCACATACTTTGCTCACCAAAGTTTGGTGTCACTCGAAGAGAGCCTGTGGAGTATCCGAATGTGTAGGCTGTGATTCTTTGGATACGGAGAATTCCTCAGAGGAATTTCCTTTGCAACTCGTATGGAAAATCAAGACTACTGTCGGCAAAGCTCGCACAGAAAGGCAGTCGATGATTGCATCGCACCACTGAGATGAACTCGTCGATAGCACTTTCTTCTTCAGATGGACAACAAGTTACCACAAGCGGATCGTTATCTCCTCTGACTATACATCGATCTTCGCATGCATCTTGTGTATGCAGTTTTGCCCTCATTAATGCATGGTTAAAAGAGACCGGTGCATATCGTCATCTCGATCACTAGTCCATCTATTTCCGTCCCACCCGACTGATCATACCGATTCATGCGTGCCGTCTTGCGCATCAATCTCAAAGACGAAAACTCAGCACCGCAACGCAAAACCCATGAGAATCTCCAGACTGCTTTTCACTAGATGGTATTGAGATATGCTACATATTAACAGATCAGTGTAGACAAAAGTAAACGTCGAGTTAGCAGATTGATGTTAATAAACTTGGCTTCTACACAAGAGTTTCTCATACCAACTTTCCCCCAAATCATCACGACGAGGTGAATTCGCGCCCTCCGTCACTGTGAAAAAATGTAAATGAACGTGGGGGAACCGTCAGCGTCACGCGCCACGAAATACAATCTACCAGCGATACTTGGCAACAAGCCGAATAGCCACATAGTGTGCCGTCATGATGTTGCCTTTGTATACCGATGCCCAATCCTCCCGCTTGTTCTCCATAGCATACCGTAAAGTACTGCGCTTAATCTGGATGCCATGATTGTAGATCGCTGTGGCTAGACACACACCAGCCGTCAGCATAGTGCCTGCGGCAATGAAAATGCAACTACGACGATGACAATAATTTATGCGATAAATACAAAACAATTTCTGCTCATTCACGAGGGGCTTTCTCTTCCGAAAACACAATATGATAACCACTTATTCTTTCCCTTTTTCGAAGGCTTCTTTTTCGGGTGTCGGAGAACTTGGTGATAGAGTCTTTGAGATACGTGACTGATTATTGTTGGAAAGTATGCATATGGTAAACTGCATGTGTCAGTGGCAATATGGAAATTCTGAGGAAATTTTGAAAAAATTCTTATTGGTTTCTCAACACCTCTACCGCAATTCGTAAATAAACTCCTATAAGCACTGAGAAAACCGGTGAGCTCAGTTTTACTTTTACACACGAAAGTATCCTCTCAAGAGCGAGTCCACATTACTACCAGCTGTTCGGTATTTTCCTTTCCTAAACGCGAATATCGACAGTCCCAGCGTGCTGATACCTATGCACCACATCCCTCACTGCCCAGCTGCGAACTCGGACTTACCAGCCACAACAGAAGTCGACGGGGCAGCTACCATCCACATAGCATGGCTGATCGGAGGCGGCATATCCGGTCTTATCACTGGATGGGCCTTCTTATACCTACCAACAATGCATCGCTCCGCCTTTTATCACCGAATTATATTACTGGATAATGGCCGCCGCAGTCCTGCGATCGATGCGAACACTCGGAAGTCCTGTGAATGCTGTCGGGAGTTCACGACTCGTCCCGACCTTCAACACCATCTGTCCAGTGGAAGCTTCGCCGTTCCGCTGCTGAGTCGTTGATAACCAACGTGGTACTGGCAACTACAAGAACATCTCTCACTCACTGAGTAGTCATTACTCTACTACCCGATCTCGAATGTTCTCCACTGGGTTGGGCAAGAGGTGCCTTTGAACTACCAAGGGCAGATGATGGGCCAAACCAGGTTGTAGCATTTGCTCGACGAAACCCTAAAAGGACAATAAGGAAGAAATTCAATTGCAGCAAGACTCACATCGTCCATTTGCTCGAGAATTTGACGGGTGGTCTTTTCGGAGAGCCCCTTGAAGCCAGCCAGGAGGAACAGCCGAGACCACAACCTGAGCGTCGATCACACCGTAGCTCGTTGAGGATTTCCGAAGGCTCACCTGGAGAGCCGAGCGATGGTGTTTTGGTCGAAGAAAATGTCAAAGACGCTCGTGTGCAGAAGTAGTCTTTGGATGCGCGGTGGTAGGTACTCGAGCAAGCCATGTTGACGAACCTTATCGAGATAGAGTAATGTACGTGGGCAGTGTACTCGGGGATACCTTGCAGTAGAATCCGAGGCCTACTAACACTGTACCGACGAGAATCGCTATCAGATGTGGGCATTGATTGAGCACCTGAATGGAGGGCTGTAGAATTGAACTCGGATGTCGGGTACGATAACCCACACCTTTAACCGCTCAACCACAGACTCTTACCTGCATGGTGAGGCCAGCCAAACCCACGATGAGGATGCAGAAGCCGATCCACACCACGAGCGTCCAATCATCCACGTTTACCATAGGCAAGGGCTGCCGATTGACAGACGACAAAGCCACAGTGCTAGGTGTTGCGTTAGCTCTCGATGCTAGCGTCCGATGTGGTTGCTGAGCTATACGATCGACACCTACAATACCAAGCTCCTCACAGAGAAAACATAGACATAGACTAGCCCCTAGTAATTCTGATGTCGTGTTTAACCATTGATAGCAACTCAGAAAAGGAGAGCTATTGCACACTATACAGTGATTCTCCTTATGATCATCGATCATAAAGTCCGAGAGCACACCACATAGTACCTGTATTATCCTGGCGCCCTAAGATTCTCTTGATGCGTAGCGGTACTCGAGCCAATGGTTGAATGACGTATTTCCGTAGTGATATGCCTTCTTCTCTTAAAGTCGGCATGTTTTATTAAGACTCAACTACTGGGTTAGCACGTGTTCATAAGATAACGATGAACATCTTCGATACGGCTTCTCACGGTGACCCTTCATGTTAAAAGCCCATCGATGCAGTCGCTAGAGTCGACCGCACGTACCCCACGACTCCACTTGTAGTTTTCCGGAACTTGCGTTCAGGGGCGCAGGTTCGATCCCGGCCTTGGGCGTTTTTCTGGTGGTCAGCCGGCGCCGTCCCGGAATCATCGGGCTCGCCCCAGTTACTGTCCATCCGCATGGGCAGCGTAACGTTTTTTGACCGTTCACGTTACGGCGTGCGTATCGTAAGCAGTTTACGGTTATGAAAAGGTACGGAAAGGCCTTACGACTTTACGGTTGGTGCTGAACTGCCTTTTAAGAATTGTGGCGGAAAGATTCGCTGTAATGCACTCCACGATAGCTCAAATAGCTGTTAAACTCATCTCTCGTGGCTCGGATTCAACCGAGCCGCTGAGAGAGTAACATTTGGTTTCGCATTTGCCACTCGTCTCCTCTGCAAATTCCGTCCGTCTCACTCCCAGACTGGCCCGGAACTGCCAAGCCGGCCTCGTCCACGGATTCACATTCACATGAAATAGATTTAGGCGACTTAAATGATCAATCCTCGCTTCGTCCTCTGCATCTCCGTAAGACCTGTTACGGCGCCGTAATTTTACGGTACGGGGCTTGAAGCGTAACCGTAAAAGTGAACCGTAACGGTCCGTAATGTAATTCTGCCCATCTATACCCCTAATTTATCCTCCTCGCCCCTTCCACGATCCCTTCTGCCTTATCCAGCTTATAGTCGAGGATCACACGTGTGGCATATTGATTACAGCGATTTGAACCTTAAACAGCGTAGCGTTGCATTGGTGGGGCCTCTGTTCGAGCCCTGGAGCAATTGCTTTAATCCCTGTCTCTGGATTCGAGGATATGAATAACTTAGCTAACTGCGCCGTAAGTGTCTCTCAGTTTTTATTGTAGGCTGCTTGTTTCTATGGCTCACATGTTGTGTGCCCACCACGTAGTCCCAATGGGAAGGCTATCGGACTAGCATGATTATAACAGACTTTGTGGACTTCACCTGACTTTGTAACGATGTCTTAAAGTGGGTAAGTTTCAGTTTGGAGGCAACGATTAATCCCCACGCCACGGTGTTTGCGAATCGGCAGGTCACGGGAATATTATCTCCGAAATATACAAATCGTCATGTTGGGTTGTTCAACGATGCCGGGATGTTGATTCCGTTCGACTGCCTCTCCCTTCATGTAATGCTGAACATGTTTTTGTGGCTGCGGTCGAAGTCTTAGGAACATTTCTATTGGTCGAGCCATGGCTGAGCCAGTTTGGCTCAGAGACGAAGCATCCGAACAGCTTGTATTTCTCGAGTCGTTACGGTGTTCATCGGGGAAAAGTTTACAACCATTTGGCGGTCGTATGGGACATATATACAATACACTTCTACCCAAACAAAACCAAACGACTGTGCACCAAGACCGTTTTCGAGCTGTACGGCTTCTGTACGGCTGCTGTACGGCTGCTGTACGGCTTCTGTACGGCTGCTGTACGGCTTCTGTACGGCTGCTGTACGGCTTCTGTACGGCTGCTGTACGGCTGCTGTACGGCTGCTGTACGGCTTCTGTACGGCTGCTGTACGGCTTCTGTACGGCTGCTGTACGGCTTCTGTACGGCTGCTGTACGGCTTCTGTACGGCTTCTGTACGGCTGCTGTACGGCTTCTGTACGGCTGCTGTACGGGTGCTGTACGGCTTCTGTACGGCTGCTGTACGGCTTCTGTACGGCTTCTGTACGGCTGCTGTACGGCTTCTGTACGGCTGCTGTACGGCTTCTGTACGGCTGCTGTACGGCTGCTGTACGGCTTCTGTACGGCTGCTGTACGGCTGCTGTACGGCTGCTGTGCGGCTTTTGTGCGGCTGCTGTGCGGCTGCTGTTCGGGTTTTTGGTTTTCGTCAATAACAGCTCAGCCGCGGATAACAGCTCGGGTTTCGTTCCACGATGATATCCATCGCACGCCCGAGAAAAGCTCAGGTTAGTCTCAGTCACATCGACAAGCTCCAGGCGTTATTATTCTGGTTTGGCCTCACGCCACTCATCTCTTTCCCCATTCTGCAGCTGCCCGGGAGATTTCTCTTCTCATGCATCCCTTCTCACTTGGCTATCACCCAGTAAGTTAGGTGTCCGCAATCTGTCGCCGTGATTCCAGCTGCTACCATCCACGTGTGGAAGGCTCATAAGGCGCTGCATCAGGCCAGCAGTGCCGCAATTTGCTTTCGAACTACCGAATTCCCGGCACCTTGGGAGGCGTGTTGATGTCCGGTTCGGCTATATATGTTGCTTCACAGTCTTGTTTATTGTGATCAAACTCACCACAATGAACTCAAGGCCTCTCGTGGTGAAGGTGAGACACGAAGAGTGCATATGGCGATTAAAGGTTCCGACAGAAGAGGTGTCATACAATAAAGTGAGGGAAGTTGTGGAGAAGATGGTATCACTTGAGCAAGGTCGCATTATCAGGTGAGCCTCGAGCGATCCCATAGGATTTGCTCGTCTGCATTCATGGTTGTAAGTAGGTATAAGGACGATGAAGGCGATATGTGCGTCTTGACACCAGAGACCTTCGACGATGCTCTTGAGGTCTCTCAGAGAAGCAACGGCCTTATTCGCCTCGATGTGGTAGTGGAGAACGGGCGGCTCTCGTGAGAAATGTGGGAAAATATGCACATAGTCAACTGCATGTGTTGATGACAATGTGGAGGAATATATGTTCGCTCTCCCCAGCTGAACTCAGACTCTCCTCATTGATTATACAAGTTTAGAGAAATGCTCAGTAAGTAACAAGAATTTCCAAAAATCACCTCATACTATCACTGACACATGTGCATATTTTCCCGCATACTGTTCGTAGGAAGGGCCTTTTCAGGTTAATCCGCGTTCGTTCGAACCAAACCCTGTGCCCTCGGCTGCAGAGGAGCACGCCTTACCGTACCATATGTCTCTTTCTCGTCATAAACAACAGTCGTCCTTTACCTCACGGAGCAGTCCACAGATTTCTTCTACCGCCGAGAGCAGGAGACAAAGCAGAGATTCTCCTGCTCATGCTGTCTCGAGAACTTGGGGTCCCTTCGAGCGCTCTTCAGAAGCCTCTCAGCTCGCAGCTCAGCCCCCCCTCTTTTCTGGTCCAGCCAACCCCTACCCTACCGTTCCCGCTACCACGACGCCTCACGTGAATGGCATCGATAGCAAGGAAAAGCCTTGCGACCAAAGTGTTGGTGTGGTCCAACCTATGTTGCCGAAGTCGAGTGACAGAATATACGCGCCTAAGCCGGTGCTTAGGACGTTCCTCCGCCTCAACGAGATGAACATGCTTACTCCCAGAATGATCACCTCGGTAGTAGTAGAAGTGTCGGGTGCTGGGATTGAACCTGAGGCCTTCGCCAGGTCACAGTGTCGTTTATACCACTCATGATACAGCGATGCAGTCGTCATACGGATAGATTATCCCACTATGTGCGCAATGACTATGAGCGTATGAGGCCTACTCTGCAGGTGGGCGTCCCGCCGATTTGACGGAGGTGTGGTATGCATGCTTTGTCACCTCAGAGTATGCTGTTGGCGATAACCCATATACGAGAGCTTCACGAGTTCATGCCGCTGCTACAAGCGGTGGTGAACTCTGGTCCCAACACGCCTGAAATCACCGAGTTTGGTCAATGGTTCGTTGGCCTCCTCAAGTCCTTTTCAACGCTATGCTTCGACACTCAGGTTCAGGTGAGTTGAATATGTCCTCAACAACCACAGAGACCTAAGTTAACCTTTCCTCATTCACAGGTGTTGCTGGTGGTAGCTCCTTCGTGGATACCGTGCTTCCGAGCGGCCGTTCGACTCGGCCACTTTGATGTACCGCCTACTCCTATACAGCAAGTTACCCATCATGGTGAGCTGCGGTGACTCTCTTGTCTCTGCCTAAGGGATGATATTGATAGGTGTGGACTGTGATGGCTGTGGTACGAAGCCTATAGTAGGGCCCCGCTTCAAATGTCAAGTGTGCGACTACGACCTCTGTGGCGAATGCTACCCCTTCAAGAGCACTCTTCACGCTGAGCTACACGATTTCGTATGTGTCTTGCGCTCAGGCCGAGATTCTACTGTGAGGGCGAGAAAGTTGTGTATTCCCGATATCACTGTTTCTCTTCAGAAGGACACTTTGTCATCGGACTTATCGACCCCAGCATTGTCAGCCTATGTATCTTCACTGGAACGGCAAGCATCAGCGGGGAGGGAGCGAGCTCAGGGTTTCAACTGAATGAAGGAGGCGGTGTGCACATCTGTCATTCGCTCGAGCTAGCTGCGGTTGGTCGTTTCGTATCTACTCCTACCATAATTTTTTTACTTTTATCGTTATTCACGTTGGTGATAATACAATGGGTTTGTGGGCGTAAGAAAAGTGTACTCGTTCGCCGTTCATGAGCAGTAGAGATTCTCATCGGCTTCTTCGCCTTTCTTTTTGGTCGTCAATTTGGTAAGCTACTCTAGGGTTTCCGACTCGTATTTACTCATGTATTTATTTGTTTCACCCCGTCTCTTTCGCTCTCATCGCGGTAGTGCTGAATAGTAGAAGTTTTTTGGGGGTTGTCGTTCACGCCCAGAGAGACCGTGGTCACATGAACGGTCAGTTGAGAGGCCGGGTAGCCTGGCAGAAACTTCGTCTAAGTCGAGAGTATCGTCTGTGTTGAGTTATGATTCTAACGGTGGTTATGAGATCTGAGATAGACCAAGCTCAGGCCGTGTGAGAGCTGATTCCATGCTAAGCACCCAGGTTCGATCCCGGCAGATTGCATGTGGAATTTCGTCGATTCATCATGAATGAATCCAATGTACAGGAACCCTCTTCTAACTTGGTTGTGAATTCCGGCGCAAGGAGTAGGGCAAGGCCTGAGGGTCAGTTGTTGCGGCCTCCTTTGCTAGAGACTGTGTGGCCGCTACCACCCCGGTAGGCCGACCATCTCCCGAACCGGGGATCCGATATTTGGCCGGATGCTCTACAGCTCGGTGAAGATACGAAGGACTTCCTGGCAGTGTATTCCCTGTTGTCTTGCACGATGAGTCCAATAAATCACCTCCCTACTGTTTGTACTACTATCCTCGAACCTATAAGAGCTCTATAAGCTGTCACTAGGCTGTACAACGGCAGTTCGTTTGATGGCATCCCCTCGGAATCCGCTCAGTTGGCTGGCAAACCGAAGTCGCTACTTCAGAGTAGCTCCGCCTCTACAACCACTGCTATCGGTGAGCCCCCTCACCGAGGTTTCAACGGAGTGAAGAGTTTTCACTGAAAACTTTAACTCACCTAGAAGAAGTATCAGTACCACTGTTATACAATAGGAATGTGATATAGTGCACAATATGCACTGCATA